TTTCAGGGGAAGCAGGCTGCATGCATTGCAAAAGGAACACAATAAAACCAAGTATTCCCAACAAGACTCCACTGTCTTCTGATTGCAGTCCTATCTGCATTGCAACTTGACTCTAAATTCTGGTATAGCTGCTACCAGGTAGGGTTTCTACTTATCACACAGTTGTAACAAACACTTCATGGCAGCAGTTTATCCTCCTCTTTGGGGGTTCAGCCAGCCCATAGTCATCTTCCAGTAAATGTATCAGTTTACTGCATTTTTGCAGTGTATTCCTTACTCATCCTTTTATATGAGGTTGCTGACTCCTTCTTCCTCTCAGGTCCACACGTAGTAGGACATCCCCAAATACTGCTGTAACACTGCTGCTGCTATTCTCTGCCTCACCTAGGCAAAGAGGCCGTGGAACAGATGCACATGCTAAAAAGCACCAATAACAAAACAACAGGAAGGCAGACGCAGTTTGCGTACCTACACTTGTTACAGGAAAGAAACTAAGTCATTGTTAGTTGAATTCTAAGACTATGTTAAATTAGTTACAAATAAAGTCAGTCTGAAAGAAATGTTGTCTTCTAACAATTGCACCGCCTTTTAATTTTTTTTAATTAGGACAGGAGGAGGGCAGGCAAAGTAGAAGGGTTTAGATTCATGGCCAAGTTCCCCTGTTAGCCAACAGGATAGCAGTAAGTGTGTTATAACTTGTGTTTTGCACAACACGTATCTCAGGTTCTAATAAATATACAATACCTTATCTCCCAAATCGGTAAAAGAAACAGGCAAGACCTAACGACAAGTAATTTTGTTCCATTTAATTCTCTTCCAAAAATGTATCACAAAGTTCACGAGCTTATCTTGCTAACATGAAACTTGTCAACTCCCCTTTCAACTGACTCCAGCCCTAGAGCTTTGAAGCTTGCTAGGGCTGTGGGGCACAGAGCTGAGCAGATTTCTCAAGGAAATTTTGTGTCTGTGTGTGGAGGGGGGCAGTGTGCACTGATTGTGGTCTCACTGTAGCTTTTTGCAACCTTTTCCAATGTCACAGTGACCTGCAGTTATTTGGAAAGGAAGTTTCCAGCTGCAAGTATCTTTAATTTGCAACTCTTATCTACACACTGAAATAAGCCTGCTGGGACTGGAATGCCTCCCTATTAAAGCTGTGTGAACGCTTTTCTTATATTTTCAAACACTCAGTGTACAAAGCACTTCTGATCTTGTGATGATTACATAGGAACTCTGGTTAGGTTTGCCTTTCACAGCTAATGAGTTTTACTAAAACAATTTTTATACTTAAGCAATGGGATGCAGAGTGGAACTAGCGATGAGTCAGCAGTTAGCTGGGGTTATTTGAACAGCAATTACGAGCCGTGCCTGCCGCTAGGAAACCATCCACAAAGGTCATACCAAGTGCCTAGTATTTAGACGCTACCACCCTCAGTGACATGAATTCTCCCAAGACTCTCACATTTTTTAGATCATTCTGTTTGATATGTGGATGCTGTTGTATTAAATGCTCACTACTTGCTACCTGGATGACAGGGAAGAATGCTTGACATCATTGGTGCTATTCACAGTGAGGCATGCCTGCCAGGTTGACAGATGCTTCTCTCTCCACATCTAGGGGAGTTAAGACACAAAAATTAGCAACTACTAAAACAAGTGTAAAGTAAGGGTCTGCTGAATGTCATCAACAAGAAACACCGAAGAGAAGTCACCACTGTGCTTTCTACAGGAGTTAGGGCTGTAACTCACAAGTATCACAAGTAGGGACAGCACGGCTTACAAAATTACTGCCCCAAGTACAGAGGTAACAGAGTTGCTGGAGGATAATCAGGCGCTGAGCTGCAGCAGCTTACAGTGCCCAGCCTTAAAGCAGAGTAAGGGTAGTTACTACCTACACGGGTGGGGAGTGTGAGGGGGGGGTGTGCTAGGCCAGATACAGGATGTGCGAGACAGTTCCTTGGGGAGGCACTGCTTCTCACGCAGGACACAGGGTTTATAAGCTGCAAGTAATTTAGGGTTCAGCTCTGTTGCCTCCGTAACCTCAGGAAACAAGCATACAAGCCCCACTCCTGAGTCATGGCTTTTGGGAACTTCATCTTGGAGAGCAGGAAACTCTTCCTTCAGGTAGAACTGATCTCTTTAATCCCTTCTGCTGGAATCAGTGAGAGAGAAAGAAAAAAAAAGATCTCTTTAATCCCTTCTGCTGGAATCAGTGTCTATGTGCCTCCATTTGCCACAAAGAGAAAGAAAAAAAGCGCACACAATAAGAAACACAGCTGCTTGTGATGGTTCCACCCTCCCTTATTCAATTGTTCAGTGGTTTAAACATTCAGCCTCAATGTTGCAGACCTAGTTTTAATTCTCTCTTCTAGCCAAGAGAATTCAAGGCCACATTGTTCCAGCCCTCCACTCAAGCGACCTAGCTACAGAAAAAATGGAATAATGAAAAAAAAGGAGACAGACATCTCACCATAAACGCCTTCAGGTTCTGCTGACCCACTTCACTAAGAACACTTGAGAGATTCTCTGTGGCTCCTCCAGAGACATTTTGCCAGGACTGAGAACTGGAGTTAGTCTATAAAACCAGTGTTACTGGTTCCAGACAGACAGACTTCAAGGCACCTTCTGCCTCAGAGGTGAGTGGAGGTTTAAAAGTTCTTTACAAGAGAAATCCCTTGCCTCTGAATTACTCACCAAAAACTTCGGGTTTATCAATCTCTCTGACACGTTTGTATCAGAGCATTGTATGCCATTAAGTTTGAGAGAGTAAAACAAAGATTTTTTCCCAAAGGCAAGGCTAAGAACAATAGGGCTGGTGGATTGCAGTTCACCACCCCAAGCCTAAGCAGCACAGAGGCGTTGCTATACAGCAACATAGCCCCGGCCCATTAGCAAGAGCTCGGGTTTAACAATTGGCATTTATTGCTGTAGATAAATACCAGCTGCCTCGCTCAGAGCCTCAACAGTTTGGTTTATATCACAGCCTTTCATATGCAAACAAAGTTATGCAAACATATAGATTTGAATTTGGGGTAACTTTTCAAAGCTACTTAGACAGCACAAGAGCACTTACTGAGATACTGAGCAATGAAATGCAGTGTATCTGGTTTGAGTTACAAGGAAGGTCGTAAGTCCTTTTGAAACCCAATCTTCTTCAAACACACACCACATGTGTTTGTACATACATGACCGTAACGAAGGCTTGCAGATACTTCTTTTTCTCTCTTCTGTAATGAGTGAATTTGATTAAAAAGCCAAAATTTAGTGCATACAAAAACTGCAATTTGAAAAAAATCCCGACAGCATTACTCTTTGCTGCGGTAGGAGCGGAGCTTCTGTGGGAACTGACAGTGTTTTCTTCTGTATCCGGCACCAAACGAGCTCTTTGGGACCCTCCCCCCCAAAAAATCCCAACCAACAAAAAAAGCATGTTGAGAACCCTTTGCCCCTCAGCTAAATCAGTGTTAGGAGTTGCGATGCCACCTACTGATGGTTCTGGACACTGGCCTCGAGTTCCCAGCCTGCTTCCTGCAAAGGACAGACCCTTCGGGCACAGCAAAATTTGCTTCACTTGTAGTTTATAAAAGTCCTTTTTCGAGCTTTCTTCTCTCTGCCCCTCTAAATGTAAATATCTTCTGCAAAAAAAAAGCAGCTGAGAAATCGAAGAAAAATTATTTTTTAAGCATTTTGGATTTCCTCTTCTGTCTTTTCTGAAAGGATTTTGAACCCTTTTCCCCTTCTGATTTTCAGCATCTTCCACAATCTTTTTACAGGCCAACTGTTAGAATCCTGGGATTCTTGTGTTTGCACAGCTCCCATTCTTTTGCAAAGCTAAGTGGGACTGAGGTAAAGCAGAAGCTTCAGCTTTTTATAGGAACCAGCAAACAATTTTTATGGCATTGTCCTTCTGAAAAGACAAGTCCTGGTAGGTTATTAATGAAAAAAAAAAGTGTATTTCTAAAACAAAGATTCACTTTCCACTACTGAAATTTCTTGAAAGTTCAGTTCACAATAGCAGCCTATCAAGAAACACTCTCAGCCAAATGACATTTCTTAATTTTGTAACCTAAATTCTTAAGGGTTGACAATGTAATCACTAGAAGTGACAGAAGTAGCTCTGATCACCCTCTCAAGACTGAAAAAAGCAGAACCACAAGTATTCAGATTATGACAAAGTTGCTTCAGCGTACTGCAGCAAGTCTACAATGGGTTCTATGCTGCAAGAATGAGAAGATATAATAATGAGAAATGGAAGGAAAAGAAATGCCTCCTTCCTTGCTATACACCCAAAGCATCACTATCAGCAGAAGTTCTTAAAAAAAAAAGTGTGTATTGCTTCATTTGGAAAGCAAGAGTAACTCATTCAGTACAAAAAAAAAAAAGGCCAGCAACAGCACACCTCCCTTCTTCCTCCTGCCCCATTCTCACTGTGCTTTGAAAAAAGACAAGGGTAAAAAAAACAAAACAACAACCCTGCAATGAGATGTTGTTAATTCTGTATTGTCAGTCCTGCAGATCAGGTAAGAGACGTGACTCAGGCATTCTACTCACACACTTTTTTTAAGAAAACACAAGGATTCACCACATAAGTTGTTAAAAAGCAGTATTAATAATATAATCAGTGTCAAGAAATGAAGGCGCTAAAGTGGTAAAATAACCACTCGATTAAATCTGTAACATTTAAAATATTTAATGTGCAAGCCCTGGACAGAAATAATTAATTTACAATATACTCAGTTCTGAAGGATGGAAATTTCTTCATTGTATGTGCTCAAAGCAGTAAGTGAAGTACTCAGTCGCTGAAGTACAAACATCAATCAGTATGCTAAAGTGACTTATACGTGATTTTTAAGGCAAAAATAGGTAACATGACTGCACGTAGTTGCAACAGTATTTACAGATATTATTATATAAACAGTCCACTTCTAGCATGGAAGCTTTAATGATATACTTTATATAGTCGTGTTTTATTTGAAAAGTTACCATTAAAATGTAAAATAAATCTAGCTAGGGTGAGTAGAACTGCCATTTTTTCCTGGGCCTCCACATTCACTGATCTTTGTCCCTCAACCTCTATCACTGCAAGCTGTCCTCTCTCCTGTCCATTTCCACTCTTCTTACAAAGGCACAGGTGTGCTTGAGCAGCCCCAGATTCCACAAAGAAAAAGCTGGAATGCTAAAAATGTATGTAAAAGGTCCCAATAAGAAAAAAAAAAAAAAAGCCTGAGAAATAAAATTAATGAATTAATGGGGGGAAAAAAGCTATCTGCAGGTATCCAGATAGTTGCTCAATCATCCTTGTCTTTTGCTCCATGCTTCAGGATGCGTGTGAATTCAATGTAGTTGAAATTTCCCTTTTTGTCGATGGGTGCCTCTCTGTACAGCTCATCTACCTCCTCATCTGTGAACCTGTCTCCCATTGTGGTCAGCAGCTCCCGCAGGTAGTCTTCTTGGATGAACCCTAGAATGAGTCATACAGAGAAGAAAGGCAAAGAGAAGCCATTTCTTAGCCTAGTCTTCAAAAGCAGTAAGACAAGACAAACCAACAGACATGCAATTAACTGATACAGCATGTAATACATACATTTGCACGAAGAACCCCAAATACTTTCTTAATTGAGTTCTAAAGAAATTCTTTGAATGCAAGAAGAGGGAGACATTTGATGCATTTCAGAGATTTTTGAAAACAGGGCCTAATCAGCTGTAATCTAGTAACACCTATTTCCACCTACTCATCTTCAACAGTTTGAAGTGGAAAAACAAGTTCCCGTCATTACACAAAGTGTTCTCTGAATTGAACTGTATTTTTCTTGACTTAACTAAACGTATTTGTGCATTCTCTATAAACTAGTTTCCTCTGGGGACTAAATAACCACCAGTTGACTCTTCACTGCTTCACAATACTGTTGCTGGAGGCAGTTTACATGAATACAGTGAACTGCTGGCAATTGTCCAGGGAAAGACTTTCAAGCAGGACTACGCAAGTTAACACAGGAGGAAGGAAGGATGTTTACTGTAGAGAGGTAGAGAAGCTAGTAAAAAAATGTTAGGATATAGAAAGTTATTAATTTTATGCTGAAATATTAGCAGAAGATTTTTGAGGAAATTAACAAAGATAAAAATTTGCAGTTGCTAAGTATGTTCTATTAATTCAACTTCAAGAGGTGGGCAGAACCACCAGTTGCCAAATAATTCCGGGAAAGTTTAGAGATGAAAAAAAGAATGCACATAACAAATGTTAGACAGAAGAATGAAGAAACTGCTTAATTACTGAAATAAGAGTTACCATGCCTTTAAATGTACAATAGTTGCTTCATTTGAGAGAGAAATTGGTTATTGAACTTCAGTTGGAGAAAGATCAGTAACAGAACAGAGGAGGTAGAAATCCGTTCAAAAATAGAAGACATGTAAACTACAGAACAGCTGGAAATCATCTGTAAACAACCACATCAGCTAATGTAGATTCAGTGAGAACGTGATTTTTTAAAAAAAATTTCTGCTTTGGAAAGAGAGTTGAATAGCTTAAGCAGAGTTCATTAGAGAGACAAAACAAATCATCGAATCAGGGGACTAAAAGGCAGTCAATGCGCACGACAAATATGGGCTTGATGTATGCTGGGTGAAGGGAAAAAGTGTTTCAACATATGCTAACTGAAACCATCATATCCCAGTGTAGACAAGCCCTTGACTACTGACTCCAAATGAAGAAAGCTAACAGCAATGTTCTATTAAAAAAACGAGGAGAATGTTCAGTTACCCAGGCCCATCTTAATTGGGTCAAATTTCGGGAGTTGTCTCTGCAGATGTGCATAAAGAAGGGAAAAAAGCAGCTATAAACAGATTAGGCTCTTTATTTCTGCAGTCCTGCAGAGACCAAGTAGCAGAGGTGACATAAGGATTAGTATTCAAAGAATGCAAGGCCTCTGGTGCTGCAAGTTTAGCCTCAAGGACTTAATTGCTTCTGTCTGAACAGCTGGGTGTTTAAACACCGAACGACGTTGCCATACTAAGAATACACTAGAAGTTTCAGCAGCACCGAACTATAAAGCAAACAATAGTCCCCCTCTCCCTCACATACAACTTCGATGTAGATTAACTACACTGACGAAGAGCTAGAAAATCAGACCCATAACAGACATGCACGTGGAGATTATGAAGCGGGAAAAAAAGTCTGACATAGCTGGAAATCCCTTTCTTCATTTTTAAAAGGAACAAACTGATCAGAAGCCAAATCTGAGAATGAGTAAAAGGAAAACATAACATGGGTTCTAAAAATACATCAGATGTTATTTTGCAGACTGCGTGTGGATTATTATGAATAAAAAAGAAATAATAAATAAAACAGTATAACATATCTAACATGTTTCCTGGTTAAAATTTTAAGATGGCATAAGACACAAAAGGGACTATGGAACCATTAACCTAAAATCATCCTAGGACTAGACTAAAACATTTACCACACAGAGTTGAAAGATAATAAAATCAATCTTATCAGTACATGTGGGCCTGAACTAGTAACTTATTGTTTACATAGACGTAAAAGATTACTCTTCAAAAGAACTGGTAGCACAATCATTTTCTTTATATTGTAATTTGCAGGCTCTTATTTTGGTGCACACAAAAAAACCCTGTAGCACGTCAGACTACCTGTGGAGAGAAAATAATTAACCTACTAACAGAACTTCCTTCTCTAGGAGATGGTAAAGAGATTTCCCTCGAGAGGGAGGAAGTCAATTAACATTTGAAAAGGCCTTACGAACAGAAAGGCTGTTTACCTACACCTCAACAGGAAGGAGATACTCTTTGAAAAGGCAAAGGGTGCTAAAAATACACAGACTGAAAGTAGCTGCTAGAAATTGAATAATATAATTTGAAAGGTTCAGAGAACATATCCACAGGTTAGACTGAACTACTGTGGTGCACATTTGTGAGGGAAGTTATAGGTGCTGTGACATCTCTAGTACAGAGGCTACATAACTTCAACACACACTAGTAAGGCATGTTCACAACATGACAAAGCACTGATATTCTGTAATTCTGGAGAATATCCTAAGGGTTCATTCCTGGTTGCTACACACTTCTCTGGAATCTTAGCCTACAAGAATAAATAAATAAAAGCATAAACTCTAACCTCAAGATTACAGGAACTACCTTGAAAGTCTGATATAGTAAAACTGAACTCTGCATTTCCTCTTTCACCCCATCTGGCAATGCAAGTCAGTCCAATCTGTCATTTCTGTCTTCTAGACTTCACCCGGTTTTTATCTTTAGATCATTATGGCTGCAGCCCTTCCTGCAGCCTGAAAACAAACCGAGCTGCCAGTAAGGGTATGACACATGCCACACATGATCAGAGCCTTAACACACACAACACAAGACAAGGGTTCAAAAGAGTTTACATAGTCTGGACAGCTCGTCTTGAAATACTAAAAACATGGAAGAATTCAGATGCTTCTCAGATCTACCACGAGGGGAGGGCAAACGCAGTTGTGTTACAGATTTCACATGTCATAGAAAATCACAGTTACCAATTTGAATTCGTTATCTTCTTAGAGCAAATGCATTTTATGTTACACTTTAAGGAACATATGTGCTACCCAGTTAAAACACTCTTCTTAAAAGCCTTACAAAAAAACATTACTACTAGTCCTCAGTACTCACACAGAATAGCCTGGCAGTTTTTACTTTCTCAGTAATAAGTAAAATTCTCATTACTTGGTAGAATATGCCATCTAGAAGGATTACTATTTAGAAACCCAAATAAACAACATAAAAGTAATTCCCCCCCACCAAGCAACTGAGTTTCATCCACATACCTGTTGCTTCCTCATCAAAACAAGCAAAAGCATTCCTGATTACGTCTTCTGGGTCTGTGCCATTTAACTTCTCACCAAACATTGTGAGGAACATTGTGAAGTTTATGGGTCCTGGAGCCTCATTCATCATGGCATCTAGGTATTCATCTGTTGGATTCTTTCCTACAAAGAAAGGGATTCAGGTTTGGTTTAGATTTCAAACTAAAAGTTATCTATATAATGTAATATAAATTGAGACACCTCTCATAAGCTATCCCAAACACAATATTCTAATTTTAACATCACAAATTTGCTTGGCAACCATAAACAGAAAAGTAACATTACCAAGGGAGGCGAGCATGTCATGCAAGTCCTCTTTGTCAATGAAGCCATCCCTGTTCTGGTCAATCATGTTGAAGGCCTCCTTGAATTCTTGAATCTGTGACTGATCAAACATGGCAAATACATTGGAAGTGGCACGTTGAGGGCGCTTCTTGGTGGTCTTTGTCTTTGCTTTTTTGCTTGACATGTTGATTTTTTGACACTAGGGAGAGAAATAAATACAATAAAATCAGTTAAGAATTTTAAGAAAACAATCTCTACTAAGGTTACAGTTCACAGACAGAAAACACCTCTAACACACTTCAATTTCCTCTCATCAGAACATTATTTCCCTAATCAACAAGGGAAAAGAAAATGCAGAAAACATGAACAAGTGACAGACTCCTAAAAAAAGTCACTAAAAGAAGATGCAAGTTAAATTTCAATTTCAGTATTCAATGGGACAGCTTTTGTCTGGGATTATTTTGTGATAAATGCTCCTGCAAGAAGGGAATTCAGACTGGTCTCAAGCCTAAAAGAGCAAAGCGAGGTTTTGAGAACTGTCATTAAGTGAAAAAGCTCTGTATGGACATACACAATAACTGTGCAATATTAGGTAGTAGGGGAAAGAGAAACTCAACTCATTTCACCTGAACAAACTCTGAAGCACCTATACTTTACACCTGACAGCAGTAAGTAGTTGCTATTTTGTACGAGTCTGTGTTCTTGCCTTCCATTATTTATAACAACCTAAAAGTAGGAGGAAACTACGCAAGCTATACCTCTGCTCATGCCAGTGATTTTACGCATTTAATTTTACCTGAAATCTATACAAACCTGGCATGTCTGAAAGCTGATCTCTGCCGCCTACTCTGTTAAGCAAAAAGGAGAAAGCAACCAACTCCCACTGCTTTTGCTCATCTCCCTAGAAAAACTGCTCAGAAAAAGGTTATCTTCACCTGTAACACTCAGGCTGAGTTAGGGTCTGAACAAGGCAGTGCAATTGTTCATTCCATTGCTCTGTTAATTAATTTACCTGTTGCTAGGCCTGCTGAGGTTTCCATTGCACAGTGCTGCAAAGCAAGCTTTAAGATTTTATAAAATGAACTGCAGAAAACTGCATTTGTCCTTTAAAGTAGCTGGGAGGGAGGGACGAAAGGGGGAAACCTACATATAGCCCCTTTCAGCTTCAACCACAGAAGGCTGTGACCTGAAAACAACCTGCCCTAAGCCTGGACGTGTGGAGAGAATCAAGTCCAGCGACAACGCTCAGCTTCTCCAGCTAGCACAGCACGGATTAATTATTTTTGTTTGTTTATTTATTTTTTTGCCCCGGAGGAAGGCTGATCTCCCTTCAAAGGCGGTATCCCGCCCCAGGCTTCAAGGCCGCACCGAGCTTGAAGGGCTCTCGCCCTCCCCCGTAAAGAGACGATGTCACTGCCGATGGCGCCGGGGTCCCTTTCACGGCCTCGCCGCTGGT